ACACGAATAAGCACAGAGAGAACTAGAATAAGCTTGATAGTACATATACAGCAACAGCAAGACGCTCGTTGATATTCAGAAATTGACTTTGACAAATATCACGGTAGAAATATTGATGATATCATTAAAGAACTCGAAATGCTCGGTAAATTTCTGGAAGATATGCTTAATGATACTCTGGCGGAATACACCTTTTTTGTTTCCCTGTTTTTGACGATCGTACAGTCACATTCGATGCGCATAGCTTAGTTAGATCCGTTCGGTAACATGAAATTCCAATTGGGAAAACTCTACATATTGATGTTAATAAACAAAATAAATATATAAATAGAAAAATGGTTACAAGACATATTAGTAGTATGAAATACAAAGTTAGAAACATCAAACCAAAAAAAAGAAAGCAAAAGTCAAGCTACGATCTACAACATTAACAAGTCTGTAAGAAGACGTTCAGATTATCATCACCTTCGTTGGCCACCAGATAATCCAGTTTTCTGTCATTGTTAAAATCACCAACACAAATTGAGAATGGGTGCGATCCATAGCCAATCGAGAAAGTCTTTATACCGGCGAAGGAACCATTACCATATCCAAGCAAGACGCCTACATTGTTTGTTCCATAATTAGTGACAATAAGGTCTAGTAAAGTGTCGTTGTTGAAATCACCGACAAAGACGGCATTCGGTTGAGAGCCAGAACCAGTCGAAAATGTCTTCTGACTTGAATAAGTCCCACTAACAGACCCAAGAAACACACCAACGTTGTCATTATCTTTATTAGCGACGATAATATCCAATATAGTACGGTGTGGGTGTGGGTGTGGGTGGGATGTGGGTGTGGGTGTGGGTGGTGGGTGTGGGTGGGTGTGGGTGAGGGTGTGGGGTGGGTGGGTTTGGGTGTAAAAAGAAAAGAAACACACTCACACCCCACGCCCACACCCACACCCACACCCACATCCACACCCTGCTTCGATAGTATCTCGAAGGACATGAATCAAGCCAATTCAGTGCCGTAATCGTTATCAATTCACCAGCTACCCAAAACTGACTTAGAATAACACTAGATGCATCGAACACTTTTTTGTAGGAAATATATGTATGCTTTGCTTTTGTAAAAATAAACGCAACTTTTAAAGCTTTTTCTTTATTCTACCAAAATATTCATCTGTTTTCTCTTTTGCCCATTAGAAATTATTTGCATAAAATATAACGTAGAAAACAACCGAATCTCGCTGACTCCGATTTGTCATGCTGTTTAACCCGACTTTGCCCAAACACTTTCTTATGCATCAATGGCAATAAACATGACACATCACTATTACAGACAATAACTATTACTTATCGATCTCATATTTCTTTCTCTTCCAATTGCACATATTTAACCTCCATCTGCACAGAAATATCCAGCCAATATCCGGTTTCAAAAAATCAAGTTCCTCTCACAAAACGATTGTACCTACCTTCTCTTCAAGAGAAACTCTACCCTTGATAGAACTTATCTATCATCTACTGATCATTTGCATAATTACGAAGTCAAAGCCATCTGATGATTTCTTTAGCCGAGATGAAATCGCGATAATGGTTGCTCGACTCACCCTCACACCCTCACATCCCTCATCCACTTGACTCGAATTTGAATAAGCTAACACTATCAATATTTTGTGAAACACGATCTGAAAGGTGTTGAAGTGTTTAGGGGTAGAAATTTGGACTCACCCCCCTCCCCCACAGACCGTGACAGACACTCACGTGACCCGTCACAGACCGTGACAGACACTCACAAGACCCGTCATAGACCGTGACAGACAAGTCTCTGCACTCATCACAGACCGTGACAGACAAGGCTTTGGACCCATCACAGACCGTGGCAGACAGGTCTCTGGACTCATGACAGACCGCGACCGACTGGTTATCGATCCGTCACAAACCATGGCAAACAGGTTTTGGACCCTTGAGAGACAAGACTCATGGATCATTGTAGATTGTGATAGAGGACTTCAAGGAAATATCAGATATGATGCATACCTAACATGTGATTGAAGCATATATGCAGTATTATACTTTTGGAAGTATATAATGTAAGGTAAGCTATTATGAAGAAATATACATCAGTGTGCATAAAAAAAACAACAGCTTTTAGAATATTGGCTATAGCAGCTACATCGTGTTTCACATTTTTAATCCCGCAAAGGATTGCGCTAACAAATTTTTCTGATGATTGAATTCTCTCATCGTGCGATACCGTAGCACTCTTTACCTGTTTCTCTCATCTGCGCTCTTGTGGATCCTATGTATCATCTTCCACTATGGATGGAGAATTTAGCCATTTTCTGTTTATCTTTGTACTTTTCAAACATGACTTGAATATGCATTTTATATCAATAGATCATCAGCAATTCATTGAAAAGATAGATGCAAATCACGTAAAATCAAAATACCATCAATAATGACGTGCAAGTTCTTCTTTTCCCAATAAATTGAAATAGCGCATACCCCAATAACTTATTAGGAATGCAGTTGGATCCTCTTCATAAAATCCATCTCCATCATCTAGGCTATAGATATTGGTGTTCCATTTCTTAGTAGTTCGTTCATCAGGAGGTAACATTTGCAATGACAGAGGTTTTTGTTCACATTCGGCTGGTATGTTCAGCTGAATATCCAAACGATCACTGTTGAATTGTGGCCAAGCGATCAGTTCTAATGGCCAACGTTGCATATACCATACAGCATCCGCTGACAAAGCATTACAGTCAAAAGCCGGAGAAGATGTATTGATGTTAGTAAATAGATGTTGAGTTTGATTAATTTGGCCACTAGCATAGCAATAAATGAAGTTGTAAAATGGTGATTTTTCCATTTGTTTGTACTTATGGGTTAAATCTAAACCAATTCTCATATATTCTAATATATGATCCATCACTAACTGTGCTTCTGCCTTTTGTTTAACAGACAAGTTAGACGAAGATGTGATCGTGTTGATAGCATAAACCAAATTAAAATAGGATAAATAAGCCAGTTCATCGTCCGAGAAGTTATTATCACAAACAGCAATCATCTTCGTATTGATAAGATTCACATCGTAGTGATAGGAATTAATCAACAGTTCAGCACCATCTAGAAAGCGCTTATCACCACTATAAGCATAAGTTTGAAGTAAGAAAGCTAGTATTTCCAGACTATTCAGGCCTCGATCATCTTGACGGTCAGCGTCGTCGTTCAATTCTGTAGGATTCCATGTGACCCCATTAGTACGAGTATGATTCTCGCCTTCTAAATACCAGTCATGTGTCATAATATTAGTAGTGATATTGAAGAGCAGTATGTAAGCTCTTTGTCGCTCATCATCACTACTAGCCAATGAATCATGTACCAATGGATAGACAAATTCATGTCCAATAATTTCATCAGATGAAGTGTCACCTTGGAATTGAAGAGTCGGATAAACAGGAGATGGATACCATTGAGGAGCAGGAGGAAAATCACTACGTTTTGCAAATGAACGACCAGGATAACCAGGAACACCTGTGAAGAGAATGTAAAGAAAATTATCAAATCATCTTTTCATAATCAATAACTACCCGAGACTTGATTGAGTAGTTCTAATGATTGAAAATGTGTCCAAGCCGATGCTTTGATTGCTAGATCTTGGGTCACAACATAGCGAAAAATCTGACTACTTAAATACATCGAAGTCCAAAGACCATCATTGTCGTCTGGTCCTTTGACACAAGTACGACTATCACCCCACAATGACATAGTACAATTAGATATTAAATTATATTTATCGTGTCTGCCTGGTTGATCGAAGAAGTGTTGAAAATGTTCTGCCTTTTGTACTAATGTCCACATTTCGAAGCGAAGAACAGCCAGACCTTTGGTTGTAACAGCCACTGCGGCGCTTCCTAATGCAGTGGGCGCATTATTAGTCCGACTAAGTACAGCTAATGAAGAAACATGAACTAATGAGTCACGATTAGGCATATATCTGGCACTATTGAATACACGCCAAGCATTGATATCACTATCCTTCGAATCGAAGCGCATCACTCCACGAGTAGAGCCTAACCAAACTCGACTATCAGATAATGTTGAATAACTTACAGTGAGTATGGTAATATTAGCAAATGGTAAACGACCAATGTAAGATCCAGGATTAGAGATTTGTCCTGCCAGTCTAGAAAAATACCAATGTACGCGTCCTGTCGGCATCATTATCGGTGACAAAAGAGTAACTCCTGTATCTTGGCCTACCATAACTTATCTTGCACATCATTGTATACTAATGAAGTGATCGAGGCATCAATTAGTCCAGTGATACGCTCAAAGCGCCATTCTTCATCATCAGTACCATATGAATGAATACAGAGTTTCGTGTTCGTGCCAACAAAGACCGTCTGCCACTTTAAACTCAATGCCAAAGAAGAGACAGGTACACTAATATTATTGACAAAAGGAACAATCACGAATGTAGAAAGGTCCAATGCATGTAGTCCAGTATTGCTACCAATGTACAACCATCTATTTGTTCTAAAATTGTCCACAAACAGGCCAGCTGTAATTTTTGAGACATTTGCTAGGATTGAAGGAAATGGAATAACTCGTATAATCTTACAAATAGTAGCATTTGATTGATCGCATAAGAGTAGATCTACATGATCTGGTGAAATCAGACCAGCTGTATAAGTCGCCGCTGTATTTTCATTATGACAAACGACCAACAAGCTGCTAGTGCTCTTCACAACAATCTCCGATAAAGGTATCAATGTTTCGTTGGAAGAGATCGACATCCAAGATATTTGCAACATTCCCATTGTTGAATCGATGTCATCTGTCACCGTCATCGTTTGCATCAATAGCCAAACTCCTTCAGCAGCTTGATGATGATATTGTGGCAAAGAAATAACTTGCCATACATGATGGACGTCATTGAGTACAGACCAAGCTGTAGATTCATTTGAAAATGGGACAAATAAGTAACGATCAGCAATAACCTGTTCATATTCGCTATCTGGAATACTCGTTGGTAGTAATCTACGTGTATCAGTTAGAGCATTATACTTTGTGCCGGCCAACGGTCTAGTGATCATGACGATACAAACAAGAGACCACACGAGCAAGGACCACATTGTGTTGTGTGATGTATTAAAAAATATGATAGACAAAGATAAGAACAGAAGTTTTGTGCAGAACGAGCGGCCGTTGGCACGAGATATAGGATCGACCTAGAGGAGATAAAGAGATCGCAAATAAACATAAAATAGGTGAGATATCAGATATGGTAACGTGTTTATGCTCTCATTTATTTTGAGAATATCTTTGCACAGACTCATGACGAAATCCTGGATTTTTCGCCTAATGATGGGTCGTGAAAAAGTTCTACAAAGCTGTATGAACAATACTTTTCTGGACGTATTGCTCTGTCATATCAGGATAATTAAAATACCAACGTTCGAAATTTGTGTCTCATCTGAAAAAACTCTCCTTTCTACTGATTGAGTTTTCACAAAGCGACCATAATAATTTGTGAATATAAGAGATAAATATCAACAAGTAACGTTCATCGGATTCCGATTCACTCGTCCCTAGACTGAAACACGATGAAATGTGATATGACTAGATGTGAAGATGAGACTATCAAAGAGTACATCTCTGACCGAAATAAAAAAATGTGCTACAAGGAAAAAGCCGAGTGTTTTTGAATTTCGTAATTAAAAATCAATTAACAGTAAAATCAGTTTAAAGTTCAGCAGGTGGAATTACAAAGAACAGAAATATACAGGGTTGGAAATAATATTATTCCAGGGGGGAGGGGTAACGCTAT